ATATCAATTAATTATTTGTTTTCTTATTATTATTATTATTATAAAATTAATAATTTTAATAATAAAAATATAAAAAGAGAAAAAATACATTTAATTGTTTTTAAATATATCTTTATTAGTCATTAAATATTGAACAATAACTACTAAGTATTGTATAACTAAACAATTATATTAATTGAATTCGCTATTTATTATTTGTTACTTACTTTCTGCTATCTGTTATCCACTATCTGCTTACCGCCATTTGCTATTCGCTACTACCATTCACTATCCATTACTCACCACCCGTTATTTGCTAAACTTTAACCACTATACCAATTTGCCCTTTAATCTCGATTCTTCTAAAAACTTTTGGTATTAATTCTCCTATCACATTAGACCTCAAAATTTTTTAAAATTTTCATTTAAAGACTGAAAAATTTGCGAGGAATTAATATTTTAGAAAAATAAAGATTTTTTTCTTTTTTCTTTCTATTGAGTAAAGTCAAATTGCATCTTAAGTTATTTTGATTTTTAAACGAACGAGAACTTCTAGCTTAGAAAAAAAAATGGAAAATATAATAATTTTGTTGCACATTACTTTTTCACTACTAATTTAATTAACTAAATTTAATATTTGGTCTATTAATTATTAATAAATTATTATTTTTATTTCGAAAGTGTAGTTGATTTTTCTACTGAGATTTCTTATATGTTATCAGATAGTAAAATAAAGAATGCGTGATGCATTTTACAGCCTTCCAATATTTTATATATTTTTTTGGATAGTCAAATATTAAAACACCTATGGCTACATCATAACACTAACAAACTAAGCTTAAAATGAATGCTTGATGTTAATGCATCAACTTAACAATTAAATGAAATTAGCAACTAAATTGAAATTGTTTATTTTCTTTCAATTAATTACCAGTTATATGTGAATGACAATCATTTCTTTTGTCATCCACATCATCAAAAATTAATAGAAATTATCCAATTAGTCATAAACAAAGGACTAATTTACTTTAATTGCATTATTATGTACTTATTTGCCTCTTTTTTTCAATTTAGGGGCATATTTGCTAAAATGGGACAAGTTTGAGGCTGAAGGTTGCCAAAAAGAAAAAAACTGATGAGATCTCGATCTCCTTTCAATCACAGCAAGAGAACAGGCAAATGAAATCATTTGTTCATGTCTTCTTTTTCCCATGAAATCAATCGTTCATGTCTTCTTTTTCCCCTAAATAAACAAATTGAGAGTAGTATCTAAAGAAAATGAGAGAAGAAAGTGATGGAAATAGAAAAAAAAGAGGTGTATGAGATTAGGGGAGAGAACGCAAAGATGAAGAGAGTAGTAAAGGCATGGACTGTTAGGAAGAGGAGAGATATAACGCATTTTTAGGGTTTCGGAGAAACAAAAAGGACACTATTTATGTCCTAAGTGGAATTAGAGGTTAATATTCAAACTAATCTGACTAATCTCATTCAATCCAAACTATTCTCTCAAAAATGGATTAAAATCATTATTTAACTAGATTAAATTAAATAAAAAATAAATTAAATTAGTTTGATTTGTAATTTTATTTTATGAACATCCGATTTGAATAGATATTGAAAAAAATTAAAAAAAGGGACTTTTCTCAATTCTTATATTATCACTATTTATTCATCTTATCCTTAAAATTGTGTCATACTTTGTTTTCATCTATTATAAATTTATTCAATTATACTTTTATTTTTGTATGATTAAAATTCATAAAAAGAAGAGAAATATAATCTAATTCCTAAAAATGTTTTTTTTTTTTTCTTTGGAACAAAACCGAGTAATCCAATTCAACCAATCTAATTCAATAATAGTTGGATTAGTTTAATTATAATATATTGATTGAATTGAATTAGTTTAACTTTTTTTAATTTGATTAAATTGAATTAAATAAAAAAAAACTGATGTATTCAAACTGAAAACACCCTAAGTATAATTATAGTTAAAATAATAAGAAAAAAAAAAATGAAGGAAGGCCAAACGGTAGGTGCAGTGCGTAAACTGGAGGTCCATAGGGTAAATCCAATATTGGGCCTGCATACCAATGCCGAATGGCAGCCCAAAATTGGTAATGCCAAATTTAACATTCGGAGCTGCCGATTCACATTTTACCGTACCATTGCTGCGATAGCCGGTACGATTTTTACTGGTAGGATGTTTCCCATGCCAAGTCCAACTTGGTTTTTAGACAGATCAGAAAATAAAAGCTATAGGTACCCTTAGTCCACAAATCCATAGGTTACTATAGCATCACACATGTTAATGTATTATTCTCTTGAATTCAAATATATATATATATATATATATGCTTTCAAACGACAGCGCACAATACAAACCGTAAATAAAATGCAATATAGTAGTACTAAATTAGTAGGAGATTTTCGAATTAAGCACTAAGTCAAACTGAAAGAAAAACAGAGAAAGAAGACTCTGAAATTAAAACTCAAGAATTGATTTCATGAAGTGGCTGAGGTGACCTCCAACTCGTGATTGGGTTTCCCCTTAAAAGGCTTCTGGCGTCTTATGCAGTGTATCTCTCTCTTCAGACCTTCTATATTAGGCTCCCAATCTGTCTCGCCCGGATTCATTGAAGGAGGAGTTAATCCCAAGTAATTGATCAACAACCAAACCAAGGTGAGAAGTTGTCCACCTTTGCTTACTTGTCGTGCATGCACAATGGGTTTGCAATTAATAGCAGCATAGCATACCATTTCTACCCAAAATCTACCAATTAATTCCCATGGACAACCACCGGGTTGATCGAGGAGCTCCTTGGCAAGAAGACGTGCAGCATTTATTCTCGAAAATCTAGCTATGTAACTCCTTGCATAGGGTTCTAACTTGTCCACTTCTTCCTTCAACAGATCTAGATCTATAATAGCGTTTTCATCTTCTTTCAATAGCTTTTCTAGATGTTCAGTGAATGTTGCTTTGGATCCCTTCTCCCAATAACTTGGCCACTTCCATTCTTCATCATGGTCTCTGTCCTCATAAAATATCTTCAAATTGTTAGCTGAGGTGACTGTCATAGTAGGCTCCATCACCAAAAGGTAAAACATATAATCTGAAATCAACTTGCATATTTTTTGGTGATCAAAACCATCATTTGATGTTGAAATAGAACTACTGGAGCAATTATTTGGACACCCTTCTTGGTAGCATATTTCAGTGGCTATGTGCCATATCAAGAGGCTGTCCGTGTTCAAACTTGTTCAAGGTCCAAGCGAAGTTGGTAATATGACCGGTGAGAATTCTAGATGGATCAAAGATTTTTGAGCCGGCCACTCCAATACCCTTTTCTTGTAGGGTTGTAAAAATGAACTTCCAAGCTTGTCCTTCTACAAAATTTTTAAGGGACACACATCGGGTTCTTCTTACAGTTTCAAACCTTGTGCCTAGAAAATCAACCAATTTGTTTGGATAATCACCGTTTTTATGTTTAAAATGACAATTAAAAATATTTAATTGGGGAACTGAGTTAGACCACCTGTGCTTATCTATGAATTTATCATAATTCTTTTTGTTGGGGTACTGCCTAACAATAATCCAATCAGAGGAAATGACTAACCAGATGGATATCAAATCCAATATCAAAGCTCCGATCAGCAACCCATATGTCAGGCTGATATCAAACTCCCCCAACTTATTATGGCGGTACTCCTTAAGTAATACTGAGAATGACACCAAGGCTCCCAAGATGCAACCAAAGTTAACCGTGCGGCAAATATAACCAATCTTGGAATCAACTACGGGCAACTTGGTATGAAGAAGCTCATACAAGAGGCTTAATTGGATCTCTACGGTTCGAAGCATCTTATGTGAATCTTTTTCTCTCATAAAATAACAAAAATTCGCTTGTTCTTTTTTAGTCATGGAAGGACCTACGAGTAAGCTCTTGATAGCGCCGATCGTGCAAACTGCTGCAAGAATTATCGACCACGGCTCACGCTGATGCCAAACTTCTGCAAACCGTGACTGATGAGCCTGTTCAAATTGTACTGGAATGGGAGGCATTCTAGTTTCCTGTTTAAGTTGTACTTTATTGGGTGGCGTTACAATTGGTCTCCTCTCTGATAGATATGTCCAATTATTCTCAAAGTGGTCAAAGCTTGCTAGATAAAAGGCACGGTTGCGCTTAGCATATTTGATTACCCCTGCAATTAAAACTAGGAGAGTTGGCAGCCAAAGTTTGTCATGTGTGAGTGACTGAAAGATAACATAGATAGTCGAACCAACTTGTAATATAAGCCCAAGCAAGTGCCTAATCCAGAATTCATTGTCCTCCAGAGAGAAGGAAGTAATGGTGTCAGGGCCACCAAGATGCAACAAAAGAAAGGGTGCCCAAAAGGCCAAGATGTCACTGCGTTCAGCACGCAACATGAGTCCAATTGTGAATGTAGCCGCCCAATCTGCAAGCTGGTATGCTATCCAGAGTGGAATCATGATTATCCATTTCCCACTTCGCTTCCTTAATTGTGCAGACAGAGTTAGGAAAGATTGCAGCAAGAGACTTAGAATAATCAATCCTCTGATATTCCAAGTGTCCCATAGCTTCTCCACTTGTTCAACTATGAACAGTGGCATCTTCTTTAATCTGCTTTGTTTTGTTTTGCCAAAGGTTGTCCAACTTTAACCAACACACTGTGGGATGCACAATGAGTCTAATTCAACCACAACGTCTTAAATTGGATATCCTACATTAGCAGGTAACATAATCTTCGGTTTCAATCTTTTGATACTGGAAAATTTAAATGTTAGGAGAAAAAAAAATGAAAATCATACTACATTATATTTTTATTAAATATTGCAGTAATGTAGTTGATTGATTTCCGTAAAGCTACAACCCTCTACTATAATTAAAAATTTATGTTTTATTATTAAATATCATTTTCCCTTTTTCTTTGGGTACTTAATTTGTCAGCTTCTGGTCCCTTTGGTCTCTCCCCTCTCCCCTGTTATACCACTCCAACCGCTCCGTTTGCAAGTTTCCTTGGCAAGTGCATAGTAATTTTTTTAGACAGTATCATATCTCCAATAAGTAAATTTATTAAAATAACTAATTTTAATTAATATATTTATATTTTAATAATTTGTCATACTTTTTCTTTTTATATGAATAATGTATTTATTATTATTCTGTCTCATTATCATCTCATTTCTATTATACCTTTTTAGTTATACCTTTAAATTTTTATTTATAGAAATATATATTTTTTTACAACAATTTTTTACTCTTGCTAACTTTTCATCTATCTATACCTCACCTTTTATTATTATTTTTTTTGAACTCTTTTTTTTTTTTTAAACTTTTTGTCTCATATTTTATTATTA